GTCTAACAAAAATGCTGCTAAAAAAGTACAAAAAAAATATTACTGAAAAATGAAATATCCTTTTGTTTAAAATCAAGTCATCTTTCAACTGTTAAAGTTAGTACATTTAAAAAGGGAACACCCTATATATAACTCAAATAAAATTAGAATAATATATTATTGCTTAAGAAATTAAACAAATTACCAATTATTTTGCATTAAATTGTATTATAAAATTAAGGGAAGACGCTAAATACATTATTTATACTGCATTTTATATTGTACTAAAACTTTAGAAGAAAACAAATTGCAGAAAAATTTCACCTGAGTTAAAAAATAACATTTTGCACGTTCCGGTAATTTGACACCTTCATTGAATTTGTTGAGACATTTGTAAATTACGTTTAAAAATTAGGATCGGTAAGTGATTATTAACCGGTCAGGAAGTGGTAAGTAATCTAATAAACGTAGAATTTTAAAAATCAAATTTTATTAAAATTACAATTTAAACAATTATTAAAATTTATTGGAGTCATAGAATTCGGATTTAAAACAATGTCCTTTTCTGATGATGCTATAGTTGCTGCACATTTTGTAAAAACAGTGGGCTGCGATATCAGTTTCTGTCACCGTAGAATTTCCTCGAGAATGTCCATGTACACTCTTTGAAAATTGATTTTTATTTTCCACAGTCTTCGATATATCCCTCAACTACAGAAGACGAACGACACCCACCGTGCCTTTTAAGGTCTAAAATATATATTCCTTGGTTTGCTAGAATAGTGGCAGAATGTGCGTCCATAACAAATTGAGGTATCTAGCAATTTTAAGCACTCCAATTTTAATGAGCCAATTTCCTATGGTATTTCTACCACCTGGTTTGTGACCTTGCCATCTTACATTGCTAAGAATAAGTGAGCTACAAAATCGTAGCCTTGATTTGTTATTATAAACACTCGTGATATATGTATTTTAATGTCGGGAATATTTACTATTATAAACGCACTTTTATCTTCAATGTCACTTATTTTCATATCATGTATTTCTTCCCTTCTGCACGCTCCTGCTAGGAATGTCATTCCTACTTTTATATGTATATTTAAATAGACTGAATCAGAAAAAATATTTAAAAACTTCTACATGTGTTCTCTGGTAAAGATTCTTGATTTTTTCACTTTACGTCTAATATTTTTCCTCTTAAGAAAAGCAATTAACGTAGCATATATTTTTAAAACATTAATTTCTTTAATTTTAATTAAATTTATTCAATATTTGAGCGCGCAAAAAACGTTATAAGCACTGCGCTAAGTAAATAGCACGTACTGACCTTAATACTTAATGTATTATTATTTGCCTACGATTAGAGATGTAAAATTTTGAACACAATTCAGCCGATGGCACCATGACATGTGTTGTTTCAATTGTTACCCTGTTACAACAAACGCCGGGCTCCCCCAACGCATAGTCCCTGATTTAGTAGACCGACATCGAACAAAATATTGACTTTTCGTGTCAGTTCAACGTATGCACTCTCGTACATATAAGCCCTCACCACACGACAGCATAATTTCAGTTTGAAAAGTTAAATGCACCGCGATTTCAGAAATGATTATGCACGGTAGCAACGCTTTGTTATGTCGAGAAAAGTAATAACTTGTCTGGCTGGCTGTGAGGCCTTTATGATGGGAATAATTTAGTAGTCCCGAAAGTACGTGATCTCGTGGAAGTTCATTTGGGATGCGAGGAACTCGCGTAAATCTTAATGTTCGGGATTTCTGAGTAGTTTTCATATTATTTCTATGTATAAGGCATGGGGTGGAGCACAATGAGGTTCCCTCGCCAAAAACGGATTTCGCTTTTAAAAAATAATAAAAGCTCTGATTCGGATCGACGTTTCTGAATGATACAGGACTTAAGTATGTAGCAGGTGGGGTCAGAAAGGAAACTTCTGTGTTCCTTTTTCGATATATTTCAAACTTTGTTGTGTACAACAAAAAATATGTAAATAATTGATACTTTCTCGTCACAGGCTTATAACTGTTGATGTTCAGGAAACAAATAAAATACTTCTCCAAACTTTTATGGCTAATGCTGCATCACAGATTGAAGAAAAAAGTTCATAGAAAAATTTTTGTATTTTTTTTTTATTACAAAGAAACCGATAAAGCGATTTCGGTCAAATCCAGCGCGCTACTTTAATTTCGGGGATTTTCTGGGAAGATATTATCCTACGGACCGCGGGCCCATCGTCGTTTATGTTAAAAAAGGTTGTTTTTGAATTAAAATATAGCTATATATTTGAGAAAAACATAATTGACTGTCCCATAGAAAACTAACTTCTACTTAATGTACAACATGTTCCATAACGAATGGGCTATATTTCTAGAATAGTTATTCTTTGATTTAAATTAAGCTACAATAATTTTGCTCCCTTAAAAAGTTATGTTAGTTAAAATGAAATAAAAAAACGACGATAACTTTTTAACATTGCAATATAACTAGATCTAAAAGTTGCCTTTAAGGTAAGGCTCATACGTTTCTTGACACCCTGTATATTAAAGAACAGAAGCTGTTTGACGTTGGGACAGTCAATTGCGTTTTTTTAAAACTGTGGCGATTCCAGCAAATTTTATATTATAATATATGACTTATTGTAAAGAACCTAACCTCAAAAGAATTGTCATAAAATATCACAAGGAAAATTTGTAGCTAGCGATATATATTAAAAACAAAAGACCGTAGGCCTATGGTCTCTTTGGACCACAGAGATTGAGCTTTGTCTGCATGAGAATAGACAACACTTTGAAGTGTTTATGTCAGATTTGTGGAAAGAATAATTGTTTATTTTGTTTTATTGAGTATTGTTTTTGATTTAAGTCAAGAACAACTAGATTTTATTTTTCAGTTGAGTTATTTCTTTAATTTTATGGGTTATTCTTCAAATAAAATAGTAGTGTTACATATTGATGTGTTGGTAATTTTATCATCTATCTGTTACTATCAAGATGATCCAATATGACGTCCATAAGAAAAAAACAATTGAATGTATGCTTAACTGTAACTAGTGGCCGTAGAAATTTTTTCCTTTGGACGAAATTGGATTCCTCGTATCTTCGCTAGCGCTATTTTCAGTTTTTTACAGGAACGGCAGCAGATATCTTCGATCTGTTTGATTTATTTTAGTGACCCTGAAATGGTGCAACTTTTTTCTAACTTGAGCCACCCTGTATACTTTACGGTTATCTAGATGCCAATGGTGAGCCCCCGTATATGGGCCTAAATAGTAAAATATTCTACTGTGTACTGTTGCTAAAAGTGTCATAATATCAAGTTATTATTATCTCAAAAAATACTTGTAAGCAATGACATTATTCATGAATAAAATAGGTAACATATTTGCAACATTTGTTGCCACTTGAAATAAAGCGAGTCTTTTCGTTAATTTTGAACGCACTCGAAAATATCTCTAAAACGAACCGTTTCCAGACACTTTATTTGTAAAGTAGAATCCATAGTTAAAGTTTGACCAAATATTTTTTTAGACTTTGTACGGATCATCCTGATCTAAATATTGAAGATTTAATATTTAATTTAATGATTTAATGATTTAATGTTGATGATTTAATACTATTTAATATAAATCATTTAATATTTTTTCTACTCGTGTAGTAGAACATAAAAATGTTCTCCAGGATCAATCCATATGAGAATGACATTTTTTAAACTAGAGATGAAAAAGAAAAGCTTAATTAAAATAGTAACGAAATTTTTATAAACCTTACTAATTAGTTTCAACAACTTCAACAAACAAAAAGTATTATAGAACTAAAATAAAATATCACCATTCTACTTGGTGAGTAACGTGTTTTAGGTGAATCTCGTGAACGCACCAATAAAGTGCTGTTTGAAAAAATTGCCATGGAAGTAACTAATTAAAGAATTATAAGAAAATATAGTAATATGGGACTCTGTTATTAATATGGAACTCCTGTTAAATTGAAAATAAAAAAGACCTACCATTAAAAAATTACAAATTACATAATCTTCATAGAATAAAGATAAAGGCTGTCCGACATAATACTTATTATAGTTCTTACAATTACAGTTTAACGTCGCTGGATGTCGTTAATATGATACCCAAAAGAGACTTTCTTCCAAATGCGAATTGAAAAGGAAGGTTGTGTAAAAGCATGACGAATTGTCTAATTATTCTAAAAAAAACTCATATTTAATGTATTTGTACTTAAGGTGAGCATATCAGGTGCACAAAATGCAGAAAAATCGATGTGATTTCAAAACTAGTTTGAGATAACGCTGAAGTCTTAAATAACAGTGAAACATTATTGGAATTTAGAATGTTAACTAGGTATTGTTAGTATGTATATTCCCAAAGAGGATAATTTTATGAAAATATTATTCAAAATGAAAATTTACATGGCATGTTACTGCAAACTTCAACAATTAATTTGTTACATTTAAATTTAGAAGAAAAACAAATACAATCCTCACCTAAGTATATTTTTTTGTGATCAGTTAAGGTCTCAATTGTTTTGTTGATTGTCCTTTCGCTCTCCGTTTCCTTAGAAAATAGCCAGGTACGTAACAAAGTTACTGTTGTTTAATAAATCCTAAATAGTTTAGTCATTATTTTTTTTTCCTTTGTAGAAAACACTCATTGATGGGCAAAACACCCTTAATATCTGAGGAAATGTTTACCCAACTCACTTTCGTTCCATTTTTTTCAATTGACCAAATTGTTAGTTCCCTTGATCCATCATAACCATATGCGTCTGTCTCTTATTGCTATTCACAGTTCATCTCCTGTCGTGATAGATTTAAAAGTGTAAGCAAAATTGTGTTAATAATGCGACTATAATAACTGTAGATACTTTCAGTTCAAGAAGTTAAAGCAAATGATTTTTCTTCCACATTTTATTTAATAAATACACTTTTTAATATGAATATAAAAAAAGAAAATCACAACACTAGATATTTTTAATCCAGCAATTTAAAGAAAATGATTTTTCTTCGATATTTTATTTAAAAAATACACGTTTTAATATAAATATAAAAAAGAAACAAGCAACGCTTTATAAAAGCGAACAATTCAAGACGAAGTTACAATCCTCTCACTCTGGTCCTTACACACCCATTCCGCTGGAAATCGCGCTCAGTTCCCTATTAACAACCCCTTTCCCACCCCGCTACCCAATCCAGCAGGCCGGGCGTAATAATTCAAGTATTTCTTTTGTTCGTTTTCGGCAACGCGTTTTTCCAAGTTGGCCAGGCACTCGTGGATCCTCTTTATGGAGGCTGTCCGCTCTACACTCCCATCCAGGACGTATATCTTTGCCCACATGTTGTGCAGGGACTGTTTTATATTGTGATAAGAGAAATCGGCCCTCGTGTATGTGTTGTGGAGGATCCTCTTCTCGTGGGTGGTGAGTAAGGCGGCTAGCTCTGCGCTGATGCTCATGTTGGTAGTTCTGGAATAAAAAGAAAAGGGTATTAGGCATCGCATCGGATTCCTTTGATTTGAGGTTGAAGACGTAAACAGTGCATCAGTTGGATTTTGAAGGTAGTACAAGCTAAATATCAAATGCAAATTTCCTTTTCATTGGAGTGTATATTCGAAGGAGATCTGAACTGCTAGTAATTATTGTAAAAGTGGAACCTATTTTCCTCAAACTGGCCATGCTTAGAGGCCTACATCGCGAAAAAATGAGATTTTGAATGAACGTTATCTAGAAGATAAAGAGTTCTAGCCACTATGTTTGAGAATATTAGTCCAATCAATAGGTAGAACAGCTTACAAAAAATACCACCTAGAAACAAAAAATATAGTTTCCAGGTGGTATTTTTTGTAAATTTAACATAAGGCCGTGACAGATTGATTGGACTATATAAATAATATACATACAAGGATGTGAGACCGGATGTTTTGGAACCAGTGTTGTTTATGGTGATCATTTCTGATCTTGTGTGACATATAAACCCGCTAGTTTATTTCTATGCTGATGACGCAAAGCTCTATGCGAATCCTCACATGGATTCTGCTATGCTCCAACAAGACAACATTGTAAAGTGTACAAGGATTGAATACTACCTTTGAATGCAAATAAATGTGCTGTGCATATTTCGTTCATGTGCAAAAAGGCAGAGTCTATGCTTTACCTACTAGAAAAGACTTTTTGAAAAGCGTCCTCAAGAAGTTTCATACATTTGTGCTATGTAAAGCCATGATTGGAATTGGCAAGTCTTGTGTGCCAACCGCATGTTAGACCGGAACATGCTCGAGTTCATTCAATATCGAACCACGTCGTCTCTAGTTTGGAAACATGCGACCATCGCACGTACAGAGACTACGAGAAGTCATTTTAACAACATTCATCGACGGGAAACTTCCTGGAAATTTAATTATAACATACAGAGGACCAAACAATATATTTGTCTGAACATCTGAAACTCTATGTCACGGCTTAAAGGATACTCAATGAAATTAAAAACAGAAATTTTCAAGACTGCAATGAGACAATTCTTCTTATAAAACCTAGCATTCTCCAAATGTAATTCGTTACCCGCTCCTGTGGTCAATGCATCATCCGTAAACGCATTTAAGAATCGCCTGATGCTTTGTACAGGGTTAGTCACTATAATCTGACAATTTATTGTAAGTTTATTATTGAAATTACAAAAAAAAATTAATACAAAAGTTTTACCTTTTTTTTATGAATTTTTATAATACATTATTAGAAAAAACAATGACTAATGGAAATCACTAAACTAAAGAATTTTTTTTAATGGAACACACTATATATTAGTGCATACTACTTACTTCATTAAATTTTTCTCTTTTCAAAAATATTAACATGTTTGATTCTGGATTTTTCGACATATTTCAGTTTAAAATTATTTTTGAGAAAAATAGGAGGGTTTATGTCTGATAAATCGCAGTAGCTACGATCTAGGCACACCGTACAAACAAACGACTTTGGCAGAAGTTTATTTATCATCATTAATTTATTTCCTATAACAAACTATTTTAACAAAGAAATAATGTTTAGTGAGAACGAACAATTTGAAGTTATCCATTTATTTTACAAGAATAATAATGTTAATGCAGCGCGCGTCGAGTACAGTAGAGCGCCGATTATCCGAAAGCCGGTCATCCGAAACGTCGGTTAACCGAAAGCGCTTCAGACGGTAAATTCGAAATTTGCGCCACCCCGACGTTCCATGTTCACCTATACACCTAACCTCAATTTGTGTCACTGACATCAGTGTTGTTTTTAACTGTCGTGCTGTTGATTGTTGTGCTGAGTGACTTCTAGTAATGTCGGCAAAACGTAGACGTGTTGTGCTTAGTCTTTCTGACAAGCTCAAAATTGTAGAAAGGTTAAAAAAGGTGCAAACAAACATGTTCGATTTTTTCTTTTAGGTTAATTTTGTACAGTACTGTTTTTTATCACATCTAAGTCAATGGACCAAAAAAGTTTACATATGAGCATTCCCTACGGGCTATATGTTTGTTTTATACTGTACATATGTAATACTCTAGTGTGTCATTAAAAATTATTACGGTGAAATGTATTTCCTGTCCAATAAACGTGTTTTCTTTGTATCCCACCCATCCCACTACCCTAACAAAGAAGTAGACGTTTTTCCAGAAATGTTCGGTTATCCGAAAAATCGAATATCCGAACACCCTCTGAACCAATTATTTCGGATAATCGGCGCTCTACTGTATACTCGTTTGCCTCCCGGGTTTCCAATTTCATCTCGAGCAGCATTTTACGACATTGAGCGACGCTTTAGATAAACAAAGAGGTTTACCATGATAAATTCAAATATTAAATTATTGTAGAAAGGCCATAAGAGTCCACAACAAATGCTTCAAGATAGTTAGAAATAAGCCAAAGTAAAATTATTAAAACGTTACATAAATATAAATACCGCCCCTATAAAACTATGGCGGTCCAAAAACTCAATAAAAATATTCAGCGATTAGAGTACTGCAGAGAAATGTTGCGCTTGAAAAATGGCGACCTAAACTATTTCGAAAAGATTTTATGAACTGATGTGGCGACTTTTACAACAGCTGGCATTTATAATAGAAAAAATACTCATACCTGGGCAAATGAAAATCCTCACTGTAATAGGGAAATTCTAAGTCAAGGATGCAAATCATTTAATGTTTGGTGTGGTATATTGAGAAATAAAATCATTGGCTCACTATTTTATGAAGGTGCTTCGGCTGGGGCAAGATACTTGATTTTCTTGAAAATCAAATAGATAACAGATTGGAAGATCTGCCGCTGATCGACTATTCCAATTTAATTTGGCACCAAGACGCATAGAACCAGAGCAGTACGAAATTATTTAAATAATTGGTTTGATTTGTGGATTGGTAATGGAGAAAATATTCTATGGCCTTCAAATAGCCCAGACCTGACACCCTTGGACAGTTTTCTGTGGGGATACTTAAAAAACGGGGTTTATAAGGAAACTAGTGTAAACTTAGATGAAATAAAACATACAATTGATCAATGTATACAAAATTTAAGTGAATTTAATTCCCATTTCTTACTAAATGCAGTTCTGAAAATTAACGAGGATTATACGAAGTGCGCCAATAATAATGGCGGTCACATCTGCGACCATTTATGTTTTAGTTGGTTTTTATTAATTAGGTATTAAAATTCTGTTAAATTTAAGACTTGTTAAAATTANAGCAGCAACAACAGTGACATATTATATATTTTTGAAAAGAGAAAAATTTAACGAAGCTAAGTATGCACTAATATATAGGGTGTATTTAAAAAAATTCTTTAATTTAGTGATTTCCATTATTCAATTGTTTCTTCTAATACTGTATTATAAAAATTCATAAAAAAAGTTAAAACTTTTATATTTAAAACTTTTTTGTAATTTCAATAATAAACTTACAATAAGTTGTTAGATTGTAGTGACTAACCCTGTACAACCAATGAACTTATATTCGATGTTTATATGAACGTTAACTTGTTCGTCTGTTTTGCCATAGATTTATTTCCTTTTTGTATTCACTGTTACAGTTTTATTTTCGATATTGTTGTCACTTATTTTTCCAGGCTATATTTACAAATTATTTTAATAAAAAAAAAACAAAACGGGGATATAAATGTCGCGGCTCGAAAAACAAACGTCCTCTATATTTGCTTTTTTATATAAACTATAGGAACATTAAAGTCATTTTTGTCAATATTAGTTCAGACCAACTGTCTTCTCAAATATATGTAGTATATTATCAAGACATTCAAACAAACATTACGATACCATATTTTTATTTCATACTGGTATCAAAAAGCAATAAATTTTAAGATATGATAATTTTTACAGTATGGTATACATAACGTCAGTACAAAGTTACTTGTATGATGAAAAAACTATACTATATTTTTAGCATTTCTAATGACTAGACATGGTAAATTGAAAATAACAATAATAAATAATAATAATGAAACCTTAATAATTCCAACAATTTTCTTAATAACAGATCATTTCATCTGTTTATTTAAAAATGTTTTGAGCATTTAAGGTATTCATTCACTTGTTTTCATTTTTTCCTTATAGAGTGTGTCCAAAATAAGGATGGGATTTTATTTTTTTTCTGGCTTTATTTGAAAACGAATTTTAAAATAAATTACATATTTATGTCGCCATTTTTTCGCTCTATCCAATGGCGTCAACATTTTTGCAATCCGACGTTTCGTCTTCGAAGGGCCATCGTCATGTTAATTTTTTCTGCTATTGTTATGATAAAATCTAGTTATTTTTAATTCTGAATTAGATGGTATTACTATTGTAATCGTTTAAAAAGGTTTTTAGCTTGTTTTAGCTATCATTTAAAATTTTTCCTGAGTACGGCTCTGAACGCTTTCAAAATATCTATTGGAGGAAGTCATAACAGTATAAAAATCAATACAGTACAAAGTACCCAACATTTTTTTTTACTACCATTAGCAATACTAATTAGAAATAATAAAACATTTCATAAATTCGTATTATTTACTATTAGGTACAACTATTTTAAATTATTGATTAGTTAAAATTAAAAATAAGAAAATATTTCTTATTAATCAAGGACCTTTCGTTTTTAAGGTAGAGAGAGTCAAATAATTCTCTTGTTAAATTAAGTTTTGTCCATACAGTGTTTTGTTTAAATTTAATGCATTGCATTGAGATTTGGAATAACGCTAAGCTAGAATTCATATTTTTTTGAGGATATTTATATCATATGTCGCCTACTAAGTATACTTAATGTAAAATTATTTCCACAAAGGTATCCGTTACTGTTGAAATTGCTGAAAAGTCAATGTTACCGTAACTAGCGATTTCTATAAGATAGTCGAAAACTAGCATGGATAAAGTATTTAGCATCCTCAAGTTTGTATCAAGCTTCAGTTCAATGCATTGTTTATTGAAAATATATTAAAATAAAAACAAAAGGCAATAGGCCATATGGTCAAAAGAAAAAAATGGTGCTACTTTTTGATGGATTACAAGATCCTGAATTCATATACTTTTTAAACATATTCTTAATGACCATCAGGAAACTCTGGGAGGTGATTCTATGGATTAAAATAGCAGCAGTATGTAATGAAATTTTTTTTCAAATTGTCAATAGCTTGCAAGTTACAGCTTATCAAAGTTCAATTTTTTTTATTTTTTTATTTCAATAACTTACTTAATTCAAGTTCGATTAGTCTCTCATTTGATATACCTACTAAGTAGATCTCTATTGGACCAGTCAGAGAAAAGTTTCATTGTGCGCCGCTAGACTTTTTTCTCTTGCTAGACATCACAGAAATTTAAATATTATTGAAAAGAGAAATAATATAAAAAAATATGTGCTCTTAATTGAAACCGATAAATGTAACCGTTTAGCAGGAAATCGCTATTAATGGCTATTAAAGTGTTATTATGTATCAAATTTTTGATAATTCTTTCTGCAATGAATCAAGTTGAAATGCTGTAATACCCCCCCTTGTAAAACCAGCTTTGTTAGTAAATAAAATATTATTAGTACATATATTATCCTCAGCTTATTTTTCCACAACGTTATTACAGTCGAAAAAAAATTATTATGTTGAAAAATCAAACGTACCTGCTTTAAACAATTTTTATTACAATTCGTAACCCCGAAATTACTAATGATATTTATTTGAAGCATGCCAACATGATCAATTACAGAAAGAATGATCACAAATTTGACGTGTAATAACACTTTAATAGCGATTTTCTGGTAAAGGGTAAATATTTATCCGCTTGAACAAAGAGTACATAATTTTTTTTGATATTGTTTCTCTTTTCAATAATGTTTAAATATCTGTGATGTCTAGCAAGAGAAAAAAGTTATGAACAAAATAAAGAGTTCTAGGTAAAGTGCCCTCTGGCGGTGCATAATGAAACTTTTCTCTGACTGGTCCAATAGAGCTTGATCTATTTAGTGGGTGTACCAAATGAGAAACTAATCGAACTTGAATTAAATAAGTTATTTACTTAGAAAAATAAAAAAATTGAACTTTGACAAGCTGTAACTTGCAAACAATTGACAATTCGAAAACAATTTTTATTACATACTGTTATTATTTTAATCCGTAGAATCACTTCCTGGAGTTTCCTGACGGACTTTTAAAACACCCTGTATTTGTGTTCATTATAAGTGAAATTTTAAATTCGCATCTATCTTCATTATAATTAAAAATAAATATATATATTCAACTCTCAATAACAATAAATGTTAATAGTTTTGAAGAAACAGAATTGACTGAATAACTACTATCTTTTATAAAATGAATACCTATGTGATTCTTTATAGGTACTATACTTTCCTTAATACCTACACTTTGTCTTTGGAAATTTATAAAATCAACATTTCCACACAATTCTCAGTAAAATATGTTACGGTATTATTGTACCCCTTTAATTGAAATGAGACACAGAAAACAAACATCAAACATTCTGTGCTAAAAATCAACTTACCGTGAGGCCTGTGTTTTTGCGGAACAAAAACAAATTTTCAACTATTCCTGGTTAACGTTGCGTGCCCGCATTATATAGGTACTCGAAAAGATAACGCTAATAATGTAATTATTATAATGATCCTTTATCAACAAATCTCCGATGATAATTTATTACAATCACGCTGCTCGATCGTCATAAATATGTGCCGCATGACAGCACGCATGACTATGACGCTCGTTAGGTGAGCAATTGTCTTTTTTTATCCGATATATTTATTGTTATTCGGCGGGGAAATGTTGCTGTCATTGTTTGTTGTATGACGCACAACGCTGACAGTATTTATTTACTTTTTTAAGTTACACTTTTTTTATATTGTACTATACTTTATCATAACTTGTATTAAATTCCTTTTCATTGTATAGCAGTTTATTCAAACGTAAAGGATAAATGGGATAGGAATTGCTAAAAAAATGCTGCCAACTAAATAACTCAAAAACTATACATATTTTTAAAACTACGGGCTGTTACAAATTCGCTTGTCACTACAGAGATCTCGGAAACGGTAAGAGATACGAAGTAGTTTAAATGGGGGCAAAGTGGCATAATCAGGGGACCAACAATATGCCTCTAAAAAATCAAGGCTAACATGATTAATTTTCGAAATATTTGAAAAAGATGAAAATTTTGGAAATCCGTTTTTGTTTCATTTCAGTCTTGTTTGAGGTGATATTGAAAAAATAAGAGCACTTTCTTATGGCAACTTTTTGCCCCCTATCGAATGGCATAATAAATTTTTGTATGTAACGTTTCGTCTCTACAGGGCTTCATTTTTTTAAATACGACCCTGGAAATTTTATTAGTTTGTGCAAGCCTTCATGACCCTCAATACTGTACTGCCTCAGCCCGAACCAGATTCAGACGTTTTGCCTCGAAAAATTCATCTTCAATGTATTCGTTCCAAATTTATCTAAATTTTTTATTTAGATTTCTATGTTTATTGAATTATCGTACACTCTAAGTGTCGTTAGATCCTGTGAAATCCACCTAGTTCTTTAAACTATTACCATTATAAGTTATAATAAAACATTATTAAAGTTTTAATCCCGTGCTCATATTTATTTCTAGGTTTCTCGAGTGCTCAAAATTCAAACAAATTTCGATCTAATTTTTTTCAGGACAGTCGTACAAATATATCTGACATGCTCTTTCACAGTTGCGGTTACAGGTATAATAAATTCCGATCATATTATGCCTATCTTCATTTTCAACATTTGCCAAAACGGAAACGTTTTTGAACATTTACTGTAATATTTTAAAGTATAATATTCATTTGGAGTTTTGGTTGTTCATATGCATTTTAAGAATTAATTTGTCATAATGAAATTAGTATTGTAATGTTTCAATGTTGACGTAACAACTTATCGAATTGTGTATGGCCAGGTGAGTGTAGATTATGTTTGGAGTCAAAATAATGGTCAATTAATTTTTAAATAACAAAGGTGAATTAGAAAAAAGAAAATTGCGGAAAATTCTTGGAAAATATTATATAGTTTTCCGAGATTCGAATATTTATTAGCATCAAACGTATCATTTTATGGTTTTCGAGGGTATACATTACGAATTACATAATTGTGCGCTTTTTAATATTTTCCAGAAAAATCTGTTTTATTAAAACTTTCTTTTACTTTAAAAAATAAATATTTTTAATATAATGAAATTGAAAATATAAATTTGATGACAGTAGGAAGGGAATCTTCTGGAGCTGCAAAGGTATAATAAAAACATATACATCAATATTTTTTTTATTTATTTATAATTAAAAAACATATACCTAATTAAAAAACAACTATTGTTATTTATTAGTTTCAACAATTTTTTATAGACTTTCATATCTAGGTTTCTTATGTGAATCAAATTACCGTGATCTTGAAATTAACCTTAAATTAAGTCAATTAACAAGGTCATTTCAGGGTCAATTTTGAATTTTTAAATGGAATCCCATATTTTTATTACAGTTTCATATTCTGCGGGAAAAAATACATATTCCACGAAGCTGTAATAAAAACATGGGTTTCCAATTAAAAAATCAAGAAGGTTAACCTTGAAATCACCTTGATCATTGACTTTATGGTTAATTTCAAGGCAACGGTAATTTGATCCCTCCGGAACCGGACAACTTTCGTTGGAAATATTTTTCACCATCCTGCTTATTTCTTGGGATATTAGCCTGAGAATTAAAATGGAACAGTAGAAGTATAGCGCACTCTGGCAAGAGAACGAAGCATTTTGAAAAAAATGTTTCATACAAAAGTTACGTATTTTTTCCCGCAGAATACGAATCTGCAATAAAAAATATGGGTTTCCGTTTAAAAAATCAAGGTTGGCCTTGAAATGACCTTGATAATTGAATTCAAGGTCAAATTCAAGGTCACTATAATTTGACCCCCTCGAAACCTGATAACTCTTGTTCGAAATATTTTTTATGAAAGTCGAATTGAAAAAATTGTGCGGCTGGTACATTAAAATGCGTGTGTAACATATATTTACTGACCTCAAAACCTACATTTTTCTATAAAAAAGTCACAGAGTAAAAAGTTCTCTTATTCCGTCTTTTTATGTGTAACTTTCCTGAGCTATTAACTTTTTGTAATTTCATACGTATTTTTAAGTATGGGTGGTGATTTTGCTGGCGATAATATTAGCTGCAATTCAATTCTTATAGGGGAATTAGTCCACAGAGTAGTTGTTTCCTACAATATCATCAACAAAAAAAAATTACACATGGTTTCTGTCTAATGACTACATTTATTTCAATTACTAGTATAAGACAACATCATCTGTTTTTATGGCATTATTAAATTAAAACATAACTAATTGTATGTTGTAAATAAAACAGTTTCTAGATCCATAATAACATATCAGTGATTTAAAAGTGTTTTAAATTTAGTAGGTAGGTAATTAATCTTTATATTTTATCCTGTATGCACTTGTTACTACACGGATAGATTATCAGAATCCAAAATTCACTATAAGTCTCTTTTACAAAGGCCAATTTCATAAAAAAAGCATTACTGATGATACCGACGTTGAATTTCGACTTTAATTGGAGATTAATACTTCTTTTCGAGTGGATATTGTGATTGATTGAAGCTTTATATTCCATTAATATCCGCTGTATCCCTTAAGCCATTTTTCGTTATCAAAAACGTGTTACACGGTATTTATTCGCGTGAAATCACAAATAAGTTACTTAGCAACATGTGAACATTCTACAACTGGGTTCCACTAACTCCAAGAATGTTGTTTGTTTATTATATTTTTTACCCCTGATAATTTTTAATGTGATTTTAATCTTACAATATGTACAATAAAGAAGCTACAAATTTTTTGTCCAAACTGGATATAAGTAGTATAAATCATTGTACAAAATATTTTTAAGCGCTGGATATAAATGTTAAAAAAGAAGAAACTATGAAAACAGAGATTAATCCAAGAAACATCTCTGAAGACTGGCGGGACCTTTGGAAGCATTGGATGGGACTAGTTACAGAGATCACTACGGAATGTTTCAGAGGACCTTCATTATCTCAGGAGTTATCTTAATACCAACAACAAGAATCGAAATGAACGCCAGGACAGGCCTAGGGATTCTAACAGCGGATCCTAGCCCGAGAACAAGGGCAGGACAAAAATTCCTAACTAAATTTAAGAAAATGCAATTTATGTCTGTAAGTGGCGGTGACTAGGTACGTAGGCCACGGCATGCTGCATAACCCAAAAGAAACATTGCCATCTTGTTTTGAGTACTTCTTCTTCAATGAAATTTTTGCAAAAATATTTTCTGAAGAAGCAGCGTAAAAAATGTTCTTTTATATCTTTTCGATAGGATTCCCCGTTTTCAAGAAAATGTAAATTTTCTTGCTGTATGCAAATAACAACACAAATCAGATCAGTTTCAAGTGTTGTACTCGTTGTAATGAAAAAAATTCCCTTAGTTATTAAAAAATCATGTATGCTACTGGATTATGCACAACTTTCTATCTCTAATAATAATGAAGACACCCTAGAATTATGTCGATACACACTGTACAATGGTTCGTTTCAGCTATTACGGTATTGGCAGTGTCTGAAGTCAAAGGTTGTAGGTAGCTTATTGGCTCCGTCTAATAAAACCCTGTACTTTGTAAATAGTACAAGGGAAAGGTTCCCAACCCCATGCCCTAGGCCCTTTGGCAATCACCGACATCATTGGATGTGCCAGAGATTCTTTTATACATCCTCAAGCTAAAAACATATTTGTCCAATAAACCAACAGTAATTAAACTATACTTTAATGAAACACGTGATCTAAGTGCAATATATGTAAGTGCATGAAAAATGTTAAGGCCAGCAAGAAAATTAGGAATACACGGAAACAAATGTTTCTTTTAACTAGTAAGGGGTTTTAGATTTTTAAAAATATCAAATATTTATTTTTATACGTAAGTTATGTTTAACATATATATCATTAATTATAAGTTTTGGAGAATATCCCGAAGAGTGAAAATTTAATTATTTGATTTTATCATTTTCAAAATACGATCATTTTTTTAGTAATATGTTAATGCTTATTCAAGAGTTGTACAAAAATGTTTGTTAAAGAAACTAAATATTTAATACCAATTTGAATTTAATAATTGAAACGAATCGTGTAATTTCAAACAGAATATTTACTTCTAAGAAATAAATTTCTTGCCAAAAATTAAATAACTACTCTACTTAATACATGACCGAGAGTAGTCTACGGAACATGTAGAGTGGAACAGCATCAGCCATTATTGTGCATAAATATTTTTTAGAAAATTTATAAAATAATATACATATTATTTTTTTGAATAAATAAACAGAAATAAGTAAAAAATATATTATTAGTGATAATTAAAATAGCTTCTAAAATAGTAAACAAAAATATGTAGGTATACTAATTAAATTAACCTTCCAAGAAAAATATATTTAATTGTGCGTAGCAATACTAATTAACAGCTGTTTAAATTATTTTTTAGTATTAAATATTTTGTATTATGCCTTATTTTTAACTTTCATTCGCCAATTATAAATAAATTTTATTACTAATAAATAAAAAATAA